CGCTTCCGCGCCCGCGGCCGCGAGCGCCCTCGAGCGCGCGCTCGCCGGCGGCTCACGCGGCAGCCCCGTCGGGCCGCGGCGGCATGGCCACCACGAACAGGGCGCTCATCGGGGAACGCAGAATGGCAGGAGCACGAACTTTCGGAGGTCCGCGGTGATTTCTTGGATCGGCGCTGGAACCCCCTGGCGGCGCCTCCGGCGCCGCCCCTGGCGCTCTCCGCGCGCCAGGGAGGGGGGCCCAGCACCGATCCAGGAAATCCGGGCGGACATGCCAACGTTCATGATTGCTCGGCGGCGAACACCGAAACCTACCCTCGCCGATCAACGAGTCAATCAACTCAATGGGCGGCGGGGGTAGGGTTCAGATGTCGCCACGTGTCAGGGGGTCGACGCCGCCGCAGTTCTCTCCTTGAGGTTCTCCTCCTCCTCCTCCTCCTCCATCATCCTCCTCCTTCTCCTCCTCCTCCTCCTCCTCTTCCTCCTCTTCCTCCTCCTCCTCCTCTACCTCTGGCTGCCTGCGCTTCTCCTTCTCCTCCACCTCCTCTCCCTCCTCTTGGCGGCGCGCACAAGGGGGTACGGGGGAGGAAGCAGGCTCCTTGGAAGGAGCCTCCTTCTAAATCAGCCTGCCCCCCTCCTCCTACTACCCCTCTCTGCGCGTGGCCGATCCTCTACCCCTCTCTGAAGGGGCCCCAGGACACACAAAGAAATACACACAAATAAACATATTCCCCATATTTTCCCATATTTTCTGGGTTGTTTGTCTTCCCCCCCACTTCCATATTTTTCCATATTTTACTGGGAGTCGACGATTCATTGTGTCTGTGTGTTTTTTCCCCTCCTGAATGCTTCTGCCATGATCTGTTCCCTGAGCTCACCGGCCGGTGGTCGGCGGTGTGGCGCAGCGCGGGGTGCGAGCCTGCACCGCGGGAGCAGCAGTCGGCCTCGACTCTCGCGAAGTCTAGGATCGGGTCGAGGCGAGCATCAGATCGGGTAGGGGGGAAGGCTTTTTAGAAGGAGCCTGCTTCTTGGACGGCGCCGGCCTTGTATCTACTGATGAGGCCCGCGCCTTCGAAGAAGCAGGGGTGGTTCCAAGAAGTCTTCCCCCCTCCTCCTGCCCCTCTCTGCGCGTGGCCGAATCGGACGGGGGCTGCATCGGTTCGAGGTTCGAAGGTGGAATTCGCAGGCGGATTCGATATCGGTTCCGCCTGGCCCGATCCGATTCGACCCCGATGTCCCGACGATCCGATGCGGGGCTGCATCGGATCGGGGCTGCCTCGGCTCGAGGTTGGACGGCGGCATCGAATCTAGGCGAACGGTGCGGTGTCAGAAACCAGCCCCGCAATCTTCGCGACGTGACAGCCCGCCGTACTCTGACCCGCCCCTCCGTACCACGGAGTCCGTGGCAAGGCCCAATTCCATCTGATCAATCCGATTCGACATCGATGTGTGTCGGCCCGGTCCGATCCGATCCCGGTATTCCGACGATCCGATGCGGACCGGTGTTCGCATGGCGCTGCTGTTCACCGGAGCGGGCTGCATCGGTTGGAGGTTCGAAGGCGGAGTCGCATCTGTTGGGCGGCGCAAAGGTGCACAACATCGCCATAAGGGTGGCCGAACGTGCGACGCCGATTTTGGCCCGGTGCATCCGACGCGGTACCTTGACACTGCCTCGTAGTCCTCGACAAAGGTAAGGCCCAGACGGCTGACGCAGACGGCTAAACGTGCAGAGAGGAGTGGAGAGACGGGATGGGGTCTGGAGGATGAGCAGAGGGCAAAACGTGATGGGCAGATCAATCGATATTTCTCTCTCGCCTTATCCCGTCCTTCTCTTCACCTACCCTATGCACGTATCCTCTTGAAGCGCGTGCCCTCGCGCACATGGCAACACTGCCTTTTTATATTCCTGCTCATTGGCATACCACCAGCGCTCTCCCCGAGACCTTGTACGGCACGCGCGATTCTACGACGACGACGGCAGACCCTGCGAAACTGAGACACTTGTTGCCTGCTTTCCCTTGATTGATGCCGCGCGTGTGGAGACTTCGCCGAGCACAGAAGATGCTCCGCAAGTGAACCAGACTATTTCGAGGGAACTTGCAACGAACCGGCAAATCCGATATTAGAGGGACAGGATGCAAGGGTGCTGCGTGAGCACAACAAGTTTTCCCAGCTAGCGGCTCATTTTTGGTCGCCCAGGACTGGACAATGCTTGAGAGCCCAGGCCGAGCGGAAGTACCAAGACTGTCCGCCACCGTGCCTCTGGGCACGGAGTGGGCGTGTCCTCAGGTCCTCCTCCTCCTCCTCCTCCTCCTCCTCCTCCTCCTCCTCCTCCTCCTCCTCCTCCTCCTCCTCCTCCTCCTCCCCTCCCCCTCCCCCTCCCCCTCCTCCTCCCCCTCCTCCTCCTCCTCCTCCTCCTCCTCCTCCTCCTCCTCCTCCTCCTCCTCGCCTGATCCCTGGAGCCTCCGCCCTCTCCGGAAGAGTCTTCAGGGGGCCCGGAGCCGACGCTGGCAAATCTCCCAGGGCTTGTCGCGTGCCCCCTGGGCTCCCCTGCGGCTTTCCGCGTGAATTGTTCGGGCCTGAAGAAGCCCGAAGACGGGCCGTAGAGCTTCAAGAAGTCTCCAAGACGGCCCAAGAGGGCTCCAGTACGCTCCGAAATTTCCAAGACGCCAAAGCTGGCCCCAAGACGGCCCCCAAAGCCGCCAATACGCCCCAAACAGGCCTCCAAGATGCCTTCCACGAGGGCCCCAAGAAGCAGCACTACTTGATTTTCCTTGGGATTTGAAAGATTGTGACGGTCTCGCCTTTTCGGCTTTCCGACGCTCCAAGACGGCCCAAGAGGCCCCCAAGACGGCCGAATAGCGCCCAAAGACTGCCCAAGATGGCCCAAGAGGGCCCCATAAATGACCCAAGAGAGGGAACATGAACCAAAAATCCGAGCCTTCCGCCCGAGGCTCCAAGAGGCCCCAAGAGGCCCCCCCAAAGGCCCCAACGAGGCCCCAAGAGGCATCCAAACGGCCCTCTAGAGGCTTCCAAACGGCCTCCAAGAGGCCCCTGAGATTCATCCCATGAGATCCCAACGAACATCCACTAGGCTTCATACCCAAAAACTGATCACGGTGGCGGGATGGGCCGAAGGTCATTAGATCCGCCGCCCCCTGTCGATTCATCGCAGGGGTGCCTGGCGTGCTGGATCCTTTCGGTTTTCCCTGGGGCTCCGGCGCGTCCCTCTGGCCACCCGGAAGGATGCCGAAAGATCTTCCAGAGGTGGTTGCAAAGGGTTCTTTCGTTCCAGACGGCTCCAAGATGGCCCAAGATGGCCTCCAAGACGCCTCCAAGACGGCCTCCAAGACGGCTGAGATGGCCCCCAAATGCCTCCAAGACGGCCCAAGATGCACCCAAGACGGCCTAAGATGGCCTCAAGATGGCCTAAAACGGCCCAGGGGGCTCCCAAGAGGCCTCCAAGACGGCCCAAGAGGCCTCCACGAGGTCCTCCAGGAAGGCCCAAAGACGCCAAAATCATTGACTCTCTTTAGGTTTTTGAAAGATTTTGGTACTTGCGCCTTTTCGGCTTTCCGACGGCCCAAGACGGCCTATGAGGCTCCCAAGGTCGCCCCAAGATCGCCCAAGAGGCCTCCAAGATGGCCCCATGACGGCCCAAGAGGCCCCCAAGATGGCCCCAAGAGGGCCCCAAGACGGGCCAAGAGGCCTCCAAGACGCCCAAGATGGCCTCTAAGACAGCCCCGAAGCGCCCCAAGAGGGCCCCAAGTCGGCCCAGAGAGGTCACCAAGACGGCTCCCGACGGCGTCAGACGTGCCAGGAACCCACCATGATTGCCGAAGTTGGCTCGAAGCTGGCCCAAGACAGCCCAAGAGGCCTCCACCTCCAAGAGGCCTCCAGGAAGGCCAGAAAAAGCAAAGAACATGCATTTTCTGGTGGTTTTTGAAGGATTTTGACATTTGCTTCGTTTCGGCCTTCCGACGGCCCGAGATGGCCCAAGAGCCGCCAAAGATCGCCCAAGAGGCCTCCAAGATGGCCCCAGAACGGCCCAAGAGGCCCCCAAGACGGCCCCAAGACGACCCAAGAGGCCTTTAAGACGCCCAAGATGGCCTCCAAGACGGCCCTGGAGCATTGCAAGAGGGCCCCAAGTCGGCCCAGAGAGACCCCCCAAGCGGTTTCCGACGGCGTCAGACGGGCCAGGAGCCCACGAAGACGGCCGAAGATGGCACTAAGATGGCCCAAGACGGCCCAAGAGGCCTCCAAGAGGGCCTCCTGGAAGGCCTGAAAAAGCAACAATCAGTGATTTCCCAAGAATTTTTGAAGGATTGTGGCATTTGCTTTTTTCTGGCCTTCCGACGGCCCGAGACGGCCCAAGTGTCCCCCCAAATTGCCCAATACGGCCCCAAGAGACCCCCAAGACGGCCCAAGAGGCCCCCCAAACGCTCAAGATGGCCTCCAAGACGGCCCACCAAGACGTCCTCCAAGAAGGCCCGAAAGGGCCAAAATGGCCTCCAGACGGCCAAGATGACCTTCAAGATGCCCACGTGTTCCCCGAAGGCTTTCCAAACCGATTCGGGGAACACATGGTCCGATAGCTTGGCAGGTCTGGCCTCAACGTTCTGCCACATAGGCGCTTCCAAAAAGGCAGGGGGCGCGGCGGTGATTCGCCGTAGGCGTCTTCGACAGTCTATCTTAACCGCCAACCCAGACGTGGACGAACTACACCACTCACTCGCCAGCCGCAATGACAGGAAATGGACGGGAGCAACGTGTGGATCGTTATCGCTGACAACTTGCCTGCCCCCTTCCCTCTTGCCCTCCTTCTTCCTTCCCCTGGCATCTTTCCTCACTCCTCCTCCTCCTCCTCCTCCTCCTGCTCCTCCTCCTCCTCCTCCTCCTCCTCCTCCTCCTCCTCCTGCTCCTCTCTCCTCTGCCCCAGTCCTCACTCGCTGCGTCCCTGCCCCTCCCAGGCATCCCCCTCGCTCACCACCTTTTCCCCAACCGTGCTGTGGCGTTGGGTCCTCCATTTGAGGAGACAGCGCCCGATTGCAAAAAAACCCTGGATTGCAAAAAAGACCCTGGCTTTTTTGTGCAATCCTGGGTTTTTTTTTGCAATCCTTCGTTCCTCACCACTCCCCCTCCTATCCCTCCTCTCCCCCTGGTTCCCACGCCTCCTCCGCACTATTTCGGTACGCCCCTCACATGCTTCGCGGCCCCGCAAGGAGTTCCGACGAAGGCCCCAATAGCTGGGTCCGCTTACCTGATCTGCACCATTCCGGCGCATCCCTCAAACGTTTCGTGGCCCCACAAGGAGCACCACCTTAGGCTCCAGAGGCTGCGTCCACATACCTGGTCTACACCTTCTCGGCGCACCCACACCATTTCGGCGCACCCCTCAAACGTTTCGTGGCCCCACAGGCAACTCAACCTAATGTCCCAGTGGCTGCGTCCGCACACCTGGTCCAAACCATGTCGGCAAACCCTTCACACGTTTCATGACCTCATATGGGGGCTCCACTGACGGCCCTCGTTGCAAGAATCGCATGACGTGACCGCGCCGATTTCGGGACACCCCTCACACGCTTCGTGGCCCGATCGGGAGCTCCACCGAATGATCCAGGGTTCGGAATCGCATGCGTGGCCTGCTCCCAGTTTAGCCCATCTCTCGCACGCTTCGTGGCCCCACATGGACCTCCACCTAAGGTCGCAGTGGCAAGAATCGCATGCGTGACCGCGCCCATGTCGGCACACTCCTCACAAATTTTGTGGACCCATGGGGACCTCCACTGAAAACTCCGCCGCCGTCTGCTGCCCCCCAAAGCTGCGCCGACAAACGCGCGAATCATCCGTAACGGGTTACATCCAGATGTAACCCGTTATGGCTAACCTCTGCGACCCCCTCAGTGTCGTCGCTGTCCTTCCCACGCACGCCTGTCCTTTTTCTAGTCCTTTCTCTTAGTTTCCGCCTGCCTTGCGGTACTCATACCTGCACGGGTTGGGTCCCTCGCCAAAGGATTTGTTGTAATTTTGAATGGTCTGATATTTTCTGATATATGCATATCTAAGCGTGTAAATATATAGACATATGTACACAAAACTATGTTTACCAGAGGCGCGATAGGTCGCCCCGTGGCTTAGGAGGAAGAGGAAACCATAATAATAAGAAGAATAAGAAGATGAATAATAATAATAATAATAACAATAATAATAATAATACTAACAATAATACTAATAATAATATTAATGATACTAATAAGAATAATAAGCATAATAATACTAATAATAATAATAATAAGAAGAAGAAGCAGAAGAAGAAGTAGTACGAGGACGAGGAGGAAGAGGAGAAGGCACCTCCGTCCCCCCCCCCCGCTCCTCTCCGCCTGCTCCCCCAATGGAGCTCGCCGCCGCCGTGCGGGAGAGACCTGGCACGCCTCCGCGTGCCGCCGTCCGTCCTCGCCCTCCGGCTTCTGGAAAGCTCTCTGAACCCTCCTCCTCCTCCTCCTCCTCCTCCTGGATTTGGAGAGGCGCCGTCGCTGTCGTAGGCTGCGGCTGTGGGCGGAGGGAGCTCTCTGAGAAGCACCAAGGGGCTTCGCAGAGGGCCGGAGGGCTTCCGAGAAGTCCCGCCGCTCTCCGAGGAGGTGCGCCCTCGCTCACTTCCCTCCTCGGCGCGCCGCCGGAAGGGAGCGGCAGGGGGCCGGCCGTAGTGCAGCTGCTCCACGCAGTCGCCGCGAAAGAAGATGCGGTCGGTCCAGGCGGGCACGCGGATCTCGTCGAACTCGTCTGTGCCGACCTGGCGCAAGTGGCATTGGCCAGGCACGAAAGAGCGATGAAGCCAGACATGCTCGAAGTCTCGGCACGCCCTGAACATCTCAACCACTGCGGCTTCTTGCAAACTGGCTTTCATGCGCTCTCGCGTCTCTGCACTCTGAGGTCCGCCGCTAAGTGCCTCGAGGCACGACATGGAGTGTTCTCATGTCCCGTGGGGTCCTCCGCATCGAGGGCTGTACTACTCTCTGAAGGTCCTGCGGCGCTCCTGGACGCTCCTGGGGCTCGTCGCAGACCTCTTCGGGTCTGTCCCCAAATGGCCGTTTCGCTTGAAACATCATCAAACAATGCCCCCCTAGAGGGAACGCGAACGAGCCTTCGAGCGTTCTGGGACCAAGATGGCACCCAAGAGCCCAAGATGCCACCCAGATGCCCCCAAGACGCCCCAAGAGGCCAGGTGTGTCCCAACACGTCAAACCGTTGATTTCTTTCTGTATGTTTGGGGAAGCTTTTCACGCTCTCGCCTGTTCGGGCTCCCGATTCTTCAAGACGGCCAGGAAGATTCCAGTACTGCCCCAAGACCGCCGAGAGGGTCCCCGATAGAGCCCAATTGCGGCCCACGAGGGCCTCAATCCTGCCCAGGAGGCCAGGGCCCCAAACGGGCCCCAAGAGAGGCCCCAGAGGGGGAGAACCCGAACTGACATCTTGAGCCCTCCGCCCCATAGATGACCCCGAGACGGCCAGCAGGCCCACTAGAGGCTCCCAAGAAGTTCAAGGAGGCCTATACGACGCCCACAGAGTTTTCTACAAAAGAAAAACCCAAGTTGAGGGCAGGGCCCCTGGAGGCCGCACACAGCGAAACACCTCCCGTTGTGTTTTTTTCATGCCGTTTTCGGCAACGCCTAATCCCGAGGCTTTGCCTCCTCCTAGCCTCGCCGTGAGGCTGCGCTCCTTCTGTCCCCCCCTCTTTCTTAATTCAAGCTTCGCGCGGCCCGCTTAGCTTCGACCAGAAGAGGTGCGCTCTCGACCCGCGAATCAACAAAAAAAAAATGTGTTTTTTTCATGCCTCGAGGGGGGCTGGGAAGCTGTTGCCATCCGGAGCGCGAGACCCAACTTTCCGACGCTCCGTGTTTTTGTGTTCCATCCAGGCGTTCTTCCCTGCTCTGGGCCTCTCGGGTGCCAGTTGTGTCGGACCTTGGGGGCCATCAGGACGTGGCTCTGGGACGAAGAGCTGGCCCCAGGGGAGCAGCAGAAGTAGAAGGAGGAGGAGGAGGAGGAGGAGGAGGAGGAGGGGGAGGAGGACAAGCTAGGTGCGCTCGCGTCATATCTGACGTCCTACCCCTCCCTCCCATCCCTTACCATGGCGCTGATTTTCTCTATCCGCGGACGCGTGTCGTAGCGGACCTGTGGCTCCGCGCGCGCGTGCGTAGTGGGTGGTGGTGCACGTGCGTGCGTGCGTGCGTGTGTGCGTGGTTGTCGTGGTGGTGGTGGTGGTGGTGGGTGGGTGGTGGTGGGTGCTGGTGGTGGTGGTGGTGAGGTGGGTGGTGGTGGTGGTGGTGGTGGTGATGGTGGTGGTGGTGGTGCTGGTGGTGGTGGTGGTGGTGCTGGTGGTGGTGGTGTTGGTACTGGTGCTGGTGCTGGTGGTGGTTGTGGTGGTGGTGGTGGTGGTGGGTGGTGGTGGTGGTGGTGGTGGTGGTGGCGGTGCGGCGCGGTGGTGGCGGGCGGATGGGCGCGCGAGAAAAAGGCCCGCGCTGGGGCGAGAACGCCATCCTGAACGACGGAGGCCAAACACCGATCCGAAAATGAGGCCCACGCTGCAGTGGGAGCACGATTCGGAACGATTCGGGAGCAGAAATGAGGCCGGCGCCTCAACGAGAGCAGCATTTTGGGAAAAAATGACGCCGGCGCCTCAGCGAGAGTCGTTTCCTGGGATTTCCCGGGAATCCTGTGTGTAGAAAAACAGTACGCGGAGGGTGCGCGGCCATCATCCGGACGCCATCAGGGGAAGAGGGAGAGTATTTTCATATTGAGTAATTGTGGATGAGGAGGAGGAGGAGGAGGAGGAGGAGGAGGAGGAGGAGGAGGAGGAGGAGGAGGAGGAGGAGGAGGAGGAGGAGAAGGAGCGGGGAGGAGAGGGAGGAGGAGGAGGCGGAGGAGGAGGAGGAGCTGGCCCCTGGGGAAAGGGCCAAGACCTCCCCAAACTTATGGTGTTCCAACTTGCTTTAGCCATGACCGCCAGAAAGAACTTCGAGCACAAAGAAAGAACCGAAACCGGACGGCCCTGAAGGGCAACGCCCCTGAGAACGTCTTCACGCGTCGGGCCACGGGATGCGATACTCGTTCGATACTTCGCCAGCGTCTCGCCAGGGTTCTGGATGCTCGAAATTATTTTGGATGTGGCCCTTGAGTGCGACTGGAACAGCATAACCCCAGACTCCCGCGAGTCATGGAACAAATCACGACCGACGGCATTTCTCTACTGCCGGCCTCTGGGGGCCCTCACCGGGCCTCGGGACCGTCCACAAAACGACTCAGGATGAAACACCGATCCCGGGGAATGGGCCGAGACCTCTGGAGGATGACGTCGGGGGTCTAGGTCCGGGGCCGCGCGTGGACAAAAATCAGATCAGCGGAGGTACGTGCTGTTTTCGTAAGCAACGCCAGATCACGGGCCCCCCCTTCTGAGAAGTGCGTGGGTGCACGGGGACCGCTGGAGAGCATCCATGGAAAGGCCCAGCGATCAGCGAGCCCCTTCGGAGCCCGAGCTGTTCCTTATTTCAGCGTGGCTGCACATGCTCTCTAGTGTCCGTCGATCCGCACTCCCTGGATGCTCCGTGTGCCGCCTCTGCCTCTCAACTTCCTTCCCACCTGCACGATGTCCGTGCTGCCGCTCAGCAGAACATTCTGGGGGAGCATTGGAGGGTGACGGCGGACGGAGGCATGACATCGCTGACACCAGGCTTGGTTATGGTACGTTGAACTTGTGATTGCAACGCCGCTGACATCGCAAATCTTCAAGATACTGCGTGCACAATATTGGGCACCATTCCTTGGCAATACAATCGACCAGCGAGCCCATCGCAATGTGCACGCGCTGCAGTCAACACAACGACGCCAGACGGTGGTGCGTGTGTTGGCCAGGGCGACGAGTTGTCGGCAAGAGCCCTTGAGCCGCCTTGTACTTGTAGGTGGGCGCGAAGTCGATGGCGCCCTCCTTGAACGTTGACAGCACAGGCTCCGCTGTGGCCCCCTGTCATGCGGTCTGAGTCATGAAACATACACACAGTATGTGGGCCTACAGCCAACATATTCCACAACGATGCCAGCCAAGTAAGATTGTTGGGCCCTGCGGGAGGAATTCTCAGCGTGAACAAGGCCAACCAATGAGGCATGGGTGAAACGTGACAGATGCGGCATGACAATGGCATCACGACGAGCCCTTGCAATACCTCTGACTGCGATTCCTTCCAATAGTCGTTCCTGACTCCCAAATTTGCCCCGCCGCCCCGTCGTCGTCCTCCTCCTTCTCTTCCTCCTCCTCCTCCTCCTCCTCATTCTTCCCGGCCATTTTGGCCCAAGGTATCAGTGTCCTGTCCAAATTCGTGTGCAGCCTTCTCGTTCTACCGGGCGGCTACGGCGGGCGCCTGCGCCACGTCCAAGTATCCAACACGTTCCGCCGATCATTGTGCATAGTTATGCAACTCCAATCCAGAGCAAACCCAGACACACAAACGCACACACACACCACACACCACACACACACACCACACACACCACACACCACACACACAACACACAACACACAACACACACAACGCACACACACACACGCACGCACGCGCACACATACACACCACACACACACACCGTTGTCGCAGTCCTACGCAGCAGTGCACCTCTCCATGAACACCAATTGTTGTAAACGCACGAACGTGTAGGTATGATAAGCTGTGTGTAGGCCTTCGTTTGTGGTGTTTCTGTCCATGTCACATTATATTCGAGCTGCGACGGCTCCCACCCAACTTTTGAAATAATCGAGCCTACGCTGCTGCAGTGAGCTCCACCGTGCCTCGAGGCACGAAGCGCAGTGTTCCTCAGGCTTCAAGAGTTTCTCTACGCTGCAGTCACTGCTCCTTTCCAGACAAGCTGTACTCTCCCAATCCGCCAAATCCGCAAAACTACGGTGTCGCGAGAACTTTTGTGCCTGCGAGGCTGTGCTTTGCGTGGTTTCTGCACACGGAGCAGCACAGCTGCTCTACCACACCAGCACGCAGGCCCGGGAGTTTCGCGCGCACTCGTTTATCAACAAATCACAAGTTGTCAATAATCCTTTGCCAAAGGTCCGCCGATCCAGCGTGTGAACTACAAGGAGCCTCAGCAAGAGCTTCAGCCCTGACCATAACCAAGAGCTTCAGCTCTGCTTGGGGGGGGGTTGCCGGGGTGGCTCTGCCGGGGAAGGTCCCACATCTGGCGTTTTCTTAATGGTTTGCGCATGCCCAAACTGCTTCGGGGGGTCCCAAGGACCCCCTTCAGATCTAGCCGTTACCGCCCCCAGGACCCTGCCCTCGGAACCCTCCCCGGACCCCCCACGGGACCGCTCCAGGCACACCCCCAGAGGACACGCTCCGTCCAAAAAACATCCCCGACGACCCCAAGAGTGCACACCCCCACCATCACCGCCACCACGACCATCATCATCATCATCATCATCATCATCATCATCAGCAGCATCAGCATCATAATCATCATCATCATCATCATCATCGTCATCATCATCATCATCGTCATCATCACCCGAATCATAATCAGTATCATCATCACCATCATCATCACCAACATCAGCACCATCACCAGCACCAGCATCATCATCAGCATCATAGTCATCATCATCATCATCATCATCATCATCATCATCATCATCATCATCATCATCATCATGCGGCGCGGGCAACACTCCCCTGCACACCCACCCTCGCGCGCGCGAGCGGGAACGAGGACGAGCGAGGACGGAGAGGGAAGCGAACACGCGAAGCGAAGGGATCAGCGGGATGCAGAAAATAACGAGAACCAGGGACAAGAAAACGGACCGGAAGAATTGAGGAAGGAGAAGGCCACAAAGCCGCGAATATCACCAAATCCGGAGCCCCCTTGATCGGCGGCACTGGCCGGGGGCCATTACAATACGACGAAGTGCACACGGGCGCGTCGTCGCGCGCGCATGCCGAAATCCTTCAAAAATCTTCGGCTTCGGAAAGGGTTTCACAATGAGCGTCCAAAAAGCATACCACAACAAAAGGCTTCGCAACACAGGCTTTCAACACCAGCGTGTGCGCGCGCTCTTGCGAATTCTTAAGACGACCATGCGTTTCTGAACATTTTCATAAAATGCTACCAGACGGGATTCGCGCGCACATGTCGACATCGTTCGAACGCCGTTGCGCGCGTGCTGGGGTGGCACGGTCCGTGTCAAATAATATCATGCGAACCACTCTCGCGCGTCTGCCGCGCGCGCATTTCGAATTCCTTCGAAAACCTTCATCACCGACGCGAAGACGCCGTCATCGTCGTCGGCGTGATCCGCATCGGCGCCGTCACTGGCTGCTCCGTCGTTGCGGTCCGAATCGTCGCCAGCGTCGCCACTATCATCGTCGTGTCTACCATTGTCGGCGTTGCCATGATACCACGCCCGCCCAAGTCGCCGACTCGCACTGAAATGCCCGCTGAGACGTGCCGAGCGGTCAGCGCCGCCTAGTTTGCGTCGGTCGCGCCAAACTACCTGGCCGCCGCGCGCGCGAGCATGCGCGGGCTAGCGCTGCCGCAAAGAAAAGATGCACCAGCCAACACCCAGCATTCATCGCAATCGCTCCCGCATGGGTTTTGCGAACCAATCTGCGGGTGGGTGGGTGGGATGATTGCGCGATCAGCGGAGTTGACCACTTCGAGTTCAGCAAGTGAACTCTCCTTCCTAAGAAATAGGTTCTACCCCCCCGGACTTACCCATTCACCTTTTCGTATTGCAATTGATTCCGCCCCATCGTCCATCCTAACTGTGAATTCATAATCTGCCAGCCAGGCTGGTATCGCCCCCCGGCATCCTCTGCGAACGAACTATGCGCGCGCACTCTTTTCTCGCGCATCATAAGTTCCTGAGTGCCCCTTGCCACAAACAAAACGAAGCGCGGACGCGCGCGTCGTCGCGCGCGCGCCGAAATCCTTCAAAACCTTTCGGTCCCAGAAGGATTCCAAAATCGAGTGTCCAACGCGCATGATATATGTATGTTTACCGAAGTCTATACTTGTACGTGAGATAATCATAATACACAAAAAGCAAACATTAAACAAACAGGTGCGTGCGCTCTTGCAGTTTATTTAGACAATCATCGTTTTTCCAACAAGTTCATAACATGCTACCAAACGGGCTTCGCGCGCGCATGTCGAAATCGTTCGAGCGCCGTTGCGCGCGTGCCGTCGCAAGAATCCCGTGGACAAAAAAAAAAAACGAAGCGCGCGCGCGCGTCGTCGCGCGCGCGCGCCGAAATCCTTCAACAACGCGCTGTTTCGTAGCGACTTCAAAATGCCCAACAAACATTCAAAACAATATGGTTGTGCAACACCAGTTTTCAAACAAAAACGTGCGCGCGCTCTCGCGAATTCGTGGGGCAATCATGGGATTTTCAACATTGTCATGGAATTCTGCCAAAACGGGCCTCTGGCGCCGCATGCCGACATCATTCGCGCGCCCTTGCGCGCGCGCTGGGGGAGGCGCGATCCGCGTCGAAAAAAAACATGCAGGCCACTCTCGCGCGTCGGCTGCGCGCGCATGTCGAACTCTTTCCATAACCTCCATCGCCGACGCGAGGGCGCCGTTATCGCCGTCGGCGCGATCAGCATCGGCGCCCGCGCTGGCCGCGGTCGTCGCGGTCATCGCCGTCGCCAGCATCGCTTGTCTCATCATCTTGCCCACCGTTGTCGACGTCGCCATGATGCCGCGCCCGCCCAAGTCACCGACTCGCGCTGGGGTGCCCGCTGGGATGTGCCCGGCGGTCGGCGCCACCGCGGCTGCGTCGGTCGCGCCAGAGTGCGCGCGCGGGCTGTCGCGGCCGCGGACATGCACCAGCCAGCGCCAAGCGCTCATGGCAATCGCCGCCGAATGGGGTTCGCAAGCCAAGTTGCGGGTGGGCGGGCGGGATGCAAGCGCGAGCAGGAGTGGGTAACTTCAAGTTGAGCATTGAATTTTCTCCTTATTAAAAAATTAGCTCTACCATCCTCCCCCCGCGGACTTATCCAACCCCCCGGAGCCGATGTTAAACGCGTGTGATTACGACCTAATGTCCATGCTACCTGTGAGTTCATATAATCCCAGCCAGACCGGCATTGCCCCCCCCCTTCGCCACCCTCTGCCAAAAAACTATGCGCGCGCGCTCGTTTGTCAAAAACCATAGGTTGTCAAGAGTCCCTTGTAAAAGAAAAGCGAAGTGCACGCGCGCGCGCGTCGTCGTCGCGCGCGCGCCGAAATCCTTCAAAAACCATCGGTTTCGGAAGGATCTCAAAATCCCGCGCCCAAGCAACGTATAGAACACATGGTTTCGCAACGCAGATGTTCAACAAAAGCGCGCGCGCTCTTGTGAATGCTGAAGAAAACCATGACTTTCAACATGTTCCAAAACATACTGCAACGCGGGCTTCGCGTGCGCGCATGTCGAAGTCGCTCAAATGCCTTCGCGCGCGTGCCGCGTGCGGTCGCGAGAACCCCTGACAAACAAACAGGACGAAGCGCACGCGCGCGCGCGTGCCGACATCCTGCGAAAATATTCGGTTTCGGAAGGATCGCAACATCGAGTGTCCAAAAAGCATGGAAACACATTTCATTTCGCAACGCGGATTTTCAACAAAAGCGTGCGCGCGCGCTCTTGCGAATCCCAAAGAAAACCATAAGTTTTCCAACGGCTTCATGACATGCTGCCAAATGGGCTTCGCGCGCGCATGTCGAAATCGTTCGAGCGCCCTTGCGTGCGCGCTGGGGTGGCGCGATCCGTGCCAAATAATATCATGCGAGCCGCTCTCGCGCGTCTGCCGCGCGCGCATTTCGAAGTCCTCCCAAAACCTTTATCGCCGACGCGAAGACGCCGTCATCGTCGTCGGCGTGGTCAGCATCGGCGCCGTCATTGGCTGCCCCGCCGTCGCTGTCAGCATAGTCACCAACATCGCCACTATCATCATCGCGTCTACCGTTGTCGACGTTGCCATGAT